TGCTACTCTCAGACAAAATAATTCGAGGAACATTCTGATTGTGTGTGAACCATTTAACAATCATGCTCATTAGCTGGTTAAACAAGGAAAGTAAAACATGTTTCACCGCCAAAATCTCCCTAAATGTAGAGCTAGAACGCATTTGATCTTCGGATCAAACATCGGAAACTAAATCTACGCCACACTGCACAAAATAACCACTAAATCCAGAGTCATTTGCATCGGCATAAACGGCTCCAACGGCGCTGGACTTAGGTGACATAACCCTCCCATTAAATATGTCAATATTGCTCAGCCAAGAAGAAAGTTCACCACGAATCTTAGAGGAAACATTCAATGGCTGAGCCCAGGAAGTCTTACGTTCGATAGCCGCGTGGCAGTTTCTTGTAAACAATCTAGCAACAGTTCCTACTGCGCATATCATAGAAAGAATTTTCCCTGTATTGATCGAAGCAACGTCTCTGGCTACTATCTGGTCCTTCTGAAGACAGGGAACGAGGGATGATTTAAGCTTAAGGATACGACCTAGCTTCCGGAATTAAAACCTTCCGCAAAATCCAAAACGGTTCCTAAGAAAATTAACTTCTGTGTAGTGATAAGCGATTTAATTCGCTTGTTGCGAACGAGGAACTCTCCACAACCAATAAATTTAAATGATTAGTGCTTTATCACAGAGAGACTTACTCTTTCACTTTTCAGGTCCTCTATTTAACTTCACAACTTTTTGGTAACAACGTCTTTCTTCAACTAAACCTTGTTCTTCTGCAGTTCACTTTCTTTCTCTAAAACCTACTCCTTCGCATCTCGCTATTTATTTGCTTGACCATTGATAATAGGTTTACATTAACAATAATGCGAGGACGTATGTAAGTTCTTACTAACATACGATTAACTCATCACCACAAATTTCTTTGCAAAGCTCGTTCTTTAGTTCTGAAGCAGGATAACCAGTAAGGAAAACAAACTAAGCAATGTTCATTAAATGAAACATACTTTCGAACAGTTACTTTAAAGTTGCTCATATCGTTAAAGCTAAAACTCAAAAGTACAAACTTCGTTAATGGTAAACAAGGAACAACTCCCATATTCATAAATGTGAGAACAAGATAAATAGACGGAAAGCTTTGCCAGAAAAAACAAGCCGCAAAACCCAAGCTAGCTTGGTGTCGAAATGTCCATTTAAAGGATAAGTAAGTATCTTCCGAGGAACGTAAAGTTTGGACTGAGACAAGACACCACCCACCACTTTCCTACGCTCCAGTCGGCATATCGTCCTAACCATAGCACTGAAACAGCCCTACTCAAAATTAAAAATTAAATTAAAAATGACATTTTAATGAACATGGGCAAACAACATGCTACGCTTCTTATCCTTCTGGACCTCAGCGCCGTCATCAAATTCTCCTAAACCGTCTATGCACAGAATTTGGTGTGTCTGGAAAAGTCGCAGACTGGGGCTCGTACTTATCAAATCAGCCGCTCTCAGAAAGTTACAGTGATGGTTGATACTCAGTTATAATTGGCCTTTAAACCTGGTGATCACCCCAACGAAACTGCTGCTGTGTCATCTATACTATCCTGTATCCGTGATGTACAGAACTGGATGCTAATGGATAGATTAAAACTTAATCCTGACAAAACAGAATTTCTTATCCTTGGAACAAGACAGCAACTTGAGAAAGTAATCACCTCACACCTTGTTGTTGGTGAATCTCGAATAAGTCCTTCAACAAAAGTGAAAACCTTGCGATCATGGTTTGACTCTAATCTTGACATGCTTAGCCATGTAAATAATATCTGCAGTTCGCCTTTTTATTACATCTACAATAGACGTAGGATCAGAAAGTATCTGTTTCATCAAACCGCCATATCCCTTATCCATGCGTTTATTACCAGTAAATTGGACTACTACAACAGCCTATTATAGGGCCTTTCTACTGTTCACATTAATAAACTTAAGAGTTCAAAATGCTGTTGCCAAACTTGTAACTACCACTTCTCGTATCTGTCACATCACTCCCATTTTAAAAGATCTTCACTGGTTGCCCATCAAATACAGAATTGAATTTAAAATTGTGTTATTAACATTCAAATGCCTCCACGGACTTGCACCATAATATCTGGTTGACCTTATTGCTGTTGCTGCCTAGTCAAGGTATAATCTGAGGTCCAGGAATGCAACTTTGTTGGTACCAGCCAACGCACCGTGCCTACCTACACTTGGTGACCGAGCCCTTCAGTCGGCTGCTCCCAAACTGTGGAACAGTCTTCCGGCGGAGATCAAAAACTTTCAGAGTCTCGTATCTTTTAAGCGAGCTCTCAAACCGTACTTTTTTAAAGATAGTTTTTTAATTGACTTATTCATTTATTCTTAAGTTTTTAGTTTTAATCTTTTTTTTATTTTTTATTTTATTATTATTATTATTATTTTTTAACATAGAATTTATCGACTTACATTTTTATGACAGGTTTTAAGGTGGCTCCCTAGAGTATTTACCAATAACCCTAGCTATCTAGCATACGATGCAGAAGGAAATCTAGTTACTTTGTCTTTGCGATTTGGTTCACGAAATTCACCTCTAAGTTTACCCGTGTAAAAAGGCTCCTTTATCAAGTTTCATTTTGTGGATTAAGGCCGTTGCCATGGCAACATCGCATCCTTAAACAGGAAGTAATTTTGTCATTTTTGATCATTTTTTCTTAATATTTCTTATTTCCTTCGGTGAAATGTCTTTAAACTTTGCCACTTTATGTTAACGATATTGCTTAACATTTTAAAGTGGAAAAAACATGGGGTCGTTAAGACGGTTTCGCCAATATTTTTAAATTTGTAACTTTCCTTAATGGAGGAGTTTAGCTCTTATAGATTTTAACAAGAAAAGGACAGTACAAAGGTATTGCAACTGTTAAGAAATAAGGCGATTTAAGAATAAGAGAATTAACCCAAGGAAACGCTAGAAATTCACGGTTAATTATCTGCGCTGACGTCATATAAATCCGAAAAACACGCGTGGTTCGAGGTCGTATGAGCAAAATACGCGCTCGAGCCATCACACTCGCATGCTCATAACGCACATAGCTGAAAACATGTGATTTCTTCGAAAAGTGCGAAAGCAATTGTTAAAGCTGTTTATCAGTATTATTACGGTGATATCTCGCCAGTTGAAAAAGGAGAGATAGCGGATTCAATTTTATACCAAACACTGGATGCTTTCTTCGAAATACTTAACCATTGTGGCCAAAATTCGAGCCGTGGTGGGCACTACTCGTGCGGATGGCGATCATCGGAGATAAGACGGCGGTTTTGCAAGGATCGCGATAAGGCCTTCATTTCATAATCTGCTCTACCGACTGTTTGCAGATCTTCAAATGCCAGCCCACTTCTGGATACTTTTTCAACCTTGTTCTTCTTTAAGGATAATTTCGATGGCGAAGTGTTCCTTTAAAAGCCTGCTGTAAAAGATAAGATCCTGTTACACAGACTGCGATACAGGTTTGCTATAAAAGGAAAAGCGCTCGCGTGGCTTCAGTCTTATCTTACGGATCGTTCCCAGTCAGTTCAGATTGATGGATTTACCTCTTCAGTTCGTCCGCTCAGATTTGGTGTACCCCAGGGGTCCGTGTTGGGTCCGTTGCTGTATCTGTTGTACACGGCCCCACTAGGTGACCTAATACGATGGCATGACATGAATTTCCATCTATATGCTGATGATACTCAACTGTACACCATTTTCAGTTGCGATGATAAGGATGATCTTACCACTACAATTTCCCGGATTGAAAGCTGTCTTGTCAATATCACCAACTGGATGACTACTAAATAAATGTAAATTAATGAAGATTCGAAGAACCATTGAATAAATGATGAATTACCATTGCAAACAAGTTAACAAGATAGCTACAGAAAAGGACTACAGCTATCTAATCACCTAACACGTACTGCTCAACAAAACAACATAATACCCATCTCAAACAAAAACTAACGATCAAAATAAAACATCTTCATTTATGCCTCCTTGCCCGCTTGTCCTTTATACCCTTATTATAAAGAGAACCTTTGGCTAAATTCTGGGGTCATCAGTCGAGCTATGTTTGCAAGAGCGCTTAAAGAAATAAGGGACAACGATGTGTTTGGGTATAATTTTGGCCACGCAAGATGGCCGATATATTGATTAAATATAACATCTTCAAACAAATTTAATTAGCTATGATTATTTGATTTTTTACGCTCTGGCAAAGGTGAAGGCGGAGAAAAAAGGCCACAAGCCTCCTGTAGGGAGGCTCGCCCCACCCGAAGACGGATGACCCAGAAAAAGCCGAAGAGTAAACAGTTCCTCAGCACCTGCTTGAGGACAGATTACTCATGAACTAGCTGCATGTGTAGATAAACTAGGTGTACGAATATAGCTTAAAAATGCATTGGACTTCCATCGTCCTAACTGGCGAATTTGTGCGTCAGACAGACCTTTAGCAGCAGTCCAAGTGGCTGCACCTATGCGAAAACTGTGTGCTTTGTACAAGGCAGGGTCAAGATTACAAAATCTAAGAGCCCTATTAAGTTGTGCCACAAAAACTGATCTTTTTATTAGCGCCCCGCCCGGCCAGCAAAACAGGGGGCCGCTGGTGGCCCCTCTAACAGAAATAAACGCTAAGACAGCTTTGACCGGGCAACCAGATTCTTCCTGAAAAATGTCAATAACAAATGGGCGCCCATTATTACTGTGCTTATATTTATAAATTGTCAGTTGAAGAGCTACGACCTGCCCTTGGGTCGTCATTAAACGTGAATGCTGATTAAGCCTAATCAGATTACTCTGATCACTTCCGTTAACTGTTATCTCGCCGATACGTAAAAATGCAAAAAATGCTATATAGCACATAGCTGAAAACATCTTAAACTGGTAGGCTGACTCTGTAGTGTGGTGAAATGAGGCAACAAGCTGCCGCAAGATTGGTAGTGTAAAAGGAAGACGTACATCACGTACCGGTGCTAACTTGCGATAACCTTTAAGAATTTGACGAATGATCGCAGTTTCCGTTGGATCATTCACAACTGCTAACTTGTGGGCATAGCCGATAGCAGATAAATAACTAGTCACAGGGGAGGAAGCATAATTATGCGAATAAAGATGTGAAACAAATAGTACTATAATCGCGGGCTGCAAAGGTAAACATAAGACTTCGTTACCTAAAAAGGACTGAGCCCATCTCGTGAATAAGCTCCATGAGCGCTTCTAAGCGTCCTTGGAACACTCAGTGAGACTAGTGGACAGAAGTGTTTGTGCTACAGAGGCCAGCTCTCCGGTAGAAGATGTGATGGAACTAAGGTTTGTTCGTGGTCCATGCCCTGTCCCAGGGACTTGAATTTCGTGACCTGTAAGCGCGATAAAGCGTCAGCCTTGACATTTAGCACCCCAGACACGTGGACCGCCCGAAATAAAATATTATGTTTCAAACATTGTAAAACTAGTTCACGCAAGAGGACGATTAGCTTGTTATCTTTCGTAGTTTTCTTGTTAATAACGTCAACTAGACCTAGATTATCCGTGTGAAAAAGGACGCATTTGTTGGCCAGTTCTGACGCCCATATTGAAAGACTTATAACGATCGGAAACATCTCTAGCACTATAATGTTACGACCTAGCCAGTTTGAAGGCCATTGACCATAAAGCCAATGCAAGCCGCAAACTGCGCCGTAACCTAAAGAAGCTGCTGCATCAGTGTAAAGAGGTAGTTTGGCTGACGAGAGCCAATTATAGTCTAAAAAGAAAGACTTGCCACTGTATGATTCTAAGAAGTTAAGCCATAATTTAAGGTCAGATTTTGTTTCCCGATTTAGACGAATAAAATATCGAGGGCGTTTAACCCCGACTGTCAAGTTAATTAAACGGCGTAAAAAAGTTCGACCGGGCACTATGACAGAACAAGTCAAATTGAGAAGACCAATTAAGGATTGCAGTTCTCTTAAAGTTATCTTTTTCCGACGAAGGAATTGTTGAATAGAGTCACGACATTTAGTAAGTTTGTCGCTAGGGAGCCGTGCTTCCATGTTCTGTGTATCAAGCTCAATACCCGCAAATGACAACACGAAGCTCGGGCCTACTGTTTTCTCGGGAGCCATTGAAACGCCCAATTCATCACACGTTTTGAGAAAAACTTGCAGATCATTAGCGCACGATGCAAGCGATTTGCTGACGATCAGAAAGTCATCTAACAAATGTAATATACCGGGTATATGTAACCTAAAGCGAGCAATCCATTCCAGACCGGAACTGAAACAATCAAATATTTTGCAAGAACTGGAAAGCCCCATAGCAAGATTCTATCAACATAGAATCGATCACGCCAGCAAATCCCCAGCAAATTGTAATCAGAGGGGCTGACCGGAATCAGCCGAAAAGCATTTTTGATATCGGTCTTCGCTAGCGCACAGCCCCTGCCTGTGCGTCGAATTAGCCTTATGGCATCGTCAATATTAGCGTAGTGGACGCTGGAAGCAATTTGCGGGATATGGGAATTAATTGACTTCCCTGAGGAAAGGACAAGTGATGAATTACGCGGAATTCCCCCGGCACCTTTTTAGGAATCAAGCCTAAAGGAGAAACCTAAAAAGACTGGAAAGGGCTGTCCATCGAAAGGACCAACGATTCTTCCTAACTGAATTTCTTTAGCTAATTTTTCGTCTACCGCCTTAGGATTAGTGGTGGCTGACAAAAGATTTTTTGGGTACAAAGTTACTACGATGACCAACATAATCAATAGAAAAACCAAAACGGAAACCTTCGATGAGGTATTGCCGAGATCGAGGAGGGTAGCCCTCCAGATAGGCCTGTAATTTATCTATTTTTATTGGCGTTGCCAATGGATGAGACAGTGCGGGAGGTAGGGGCTGAGTTATTTGCGGTGACTGCTGTGGATTTCGGTCGCGGTACAGCTTTGGTGGAGTTTGCCTGTTGCTTGGGAAAGTGGCATTGGTTGGCTGGATGATGAGATCCACATCGAAAGCATTCGTGTTTAAAGTTACAGCCGGAACACTTTTCCCCTCTGTGAAATCTCTAGCAAAAGCCGGACGAAAGGGCGACCTTGTAGGCCTGTTGCGTGAGTCCGAGGAAACTACCGTAGAGGACCTTTGCATGTGGTGCACTTGCAACCACAGTTCCCAATGGATATGGTCCCAGGGGAAAAGAGTTTTTTGCCTCAAAAAGCGAAAGTTTTCATCGTAATAACGCCAATGGGCGTTCTTAGCCGCTAGGTCCCACACTGTCTCGGAATATTTCATTAAAGCTGGGGCGTCGGTCGGTGATCAGACGGTATAAATAGCTACAAATGTTTGAAACACTGATATTCATTGGTCTATATTGGCAATTCTCTTAGGTTTCTGTGCTGGCTCGAGGCTAATGACCGGCTGATCTGAAGAGTGTTGCGTTTGAACAACAAAATTGTACTGTGACTGGTTTGGGGATGCTATTTGCAATAGGGTTCCTAAGTCAATATACTCGTTTGCCCAAATTTTTGATTGAATTTTGTCAGACACCCTGGAGGCGAGAGGTACAGCGATTTGTTGATGAATCAGCTGGGGCCGGTCATTAGACTGAGCTATGCTATTTATTGATAGCAGACTGGTACTTATAGTCGACGGGTTCATAGGAGGAGGTCTCTAACCGGTTATGTCCTGGATTATGGCCGCTACTGATCCCTGTACAGCAGCAGCCGGAGTGGCGTTCGAACCATCTGGCTCCTTCTGAGCTTGAGGGAGTATGCCGGCTGCTTGAAGTCCTCCTAGCACGGCTTCTGAGACTATGGCAGCGATGTCCACCGGGGCGGGGGCTACGTCGTTGCCGGCAATTGGAACAGTGACCAATTGGGAGGGATGTTCCGAGGCGGGTGGACGGCTGTCCGTATTAGAAACTGTGGCCCGGGTAGCTGATTTTGACCTCTTTGCTTTGTGAGATTCTCGCGTGGCCGGGGCAGCACGCTTCTGTGGGCGTGGTGCAGGAGGTACGGTAGGGGCAGCACGAGATTGCCGACGAGTCATCATATTGACTGGAAAACAAAGACAGCTTATGTGTAGCAAGGAAAGTAACCCGTGGATGCGAACCAGAAAAATTGCGGGTATGTGCGCGTTGGCTAAAGAAACCGCTTATGCCCAGCAGGTCCATGCCCCACTTTTGATCACGTAACAAAACAGAAGAAAAAATAAAATATTATTAAAATTAATAATAGAAAGAACGGTTCCAGCGAACCGTAATATATAAGAAAAACGGCAACATGTTTGGCAAGCCCAAATAATGATAGCTGCCGCAAGGAACATGCTTATCTGCCGCAAAGCTTGGGAACTCATAGAGTTCTCAGTAAACATATACAAACAGTCTATTTAGACATGTAAGACAGAAGAAAGTGTGGGTGTAAAAAAAGGACCTAATTTAAGCTGGGAGCGCGACCCGCCGCGGGAAGGCAACTGAGCTTAATAGCGGATAGAATAGCGCCCCTGTAACTCCGATAGAGAACATATTGCCCTTTGGCATTAAGGTGTACCCCGTCTCTGCATAAAATGCGAACGGTGGGTTGTCGAAATCCTTTGTGACGCCAGAAAACAGCAAAAGGTAGGGTCTCCAGCACCACGCTGAGATATTGGTTGAGAAGAGCCACACGATCGATGAAGGAGGGTGGATCCCTCAAACCTGCAGCGCGGTTAATGGTCTGACAAACTACTATTGTTTCAACTCGGCATTCAGCGTGTAAACGCTGAACGAGGGTCTCGATCTTCGAACCTACCACCTCGGGCCTAGCGTCCGGTGCGGAAAGGTCGTTGGAACCTATCTCCAAAATCACAATTTGGGGTTGTAGGTACCTTACTAAATGTAAATCAAATTTAGATAGCTTGTCGACAGTGCGACCTCCAACTCCGAGAAAAGTTATCTGCGCGGAACGGGACAAGTTAAGATCCCGTCGTACCCTTGCGTCTACGCCTTTAGACAAAAATAATTCAAAACGACGGACAAAGGAGTGGCCCATAATGAGAACATGGGGTTTAGGAGACATGACTAACTTAAAAAACAACAAGAAAGATATACTCAACTCTGGAAGTGAAGGATGGAGGTGGGCGGCTGTCAAATTCGCAAAGCTTGTTACGTGTGGAGACCAAGAGGAAGACTTCGGGGAACACAGCTTGTCTTATACCCTAACCTTAAATACAACAAGTAATATTCGGGCAAGTAATTTACCAGCTAGTGATTTCCCGGCTAGTAATTTTCCGATTGATCTCGTGATAATCGTGTGATCAATACTTGACTATTTTGTGTCAAATTGGACCCTTCTCACAGTTCTTCCCTGCCGATTACCTACGTTAAAGGTGAATGCGTGACTAGTAATAAGTGCCCCTCTAAGCAAACTAACATAATCATTGCGTGACTAGGTGACATAAACATTTTTATTTGCAGGCAAATAAATTCCTTTACACTCGACATTATTTAGCTTGACGGGTCGTATATAAACAGCAGCACTTAAAAAGTACGGACATAATAATCTTAGCTGAGGCATGCACCGAAGAAATAAACGTTTCTTGAGAATTAACGACATCATCATCTAACTGAACATCCTTAAAAGGCAAAGGATCAGACTCAGGGAAAAAAAAACTCAGCGTTCCATTTTCAAAATCAACTGCGAAACAAAATTTTTGTAGAAAATTTCTACCAAGAATTACGTCACAAGTCAAATCCTCAATCACGTGCGCCTCGAAAGGAAAAGCATGAAAATCAATAATAAATTCCACCAACAACTTCCCAATTGTAGTCAGTTGACACCCATTTACTGAAGTCACACATTCTGAACTACACTTGTCCAGACTAGGATAAGCGTGACTCAAACACTCACGCCACACTTTTGCGCTGACTGCCGTGACAGCAGCCCCAGAATCTATCAAACAATAAAAATTGTGACCCGCTATACTAATAGGCAAAGTAGAATTTTCGGCCACGAAAGGAACACAAATACTATTAACCGTATCTAATTTTAGTTTATCCCCAACACTAAAAAGATTGCAGAGAGAGAGAAAGGACGGTCAAGAATTCACCGACAAAAATAAATTTGGGAAAAGTGAAAAGAAGTATAAGTAAAAACACAAAACACAAACCCAGCAGCAAGGCAGACTACAACAAACTATAGACTAAGATTATTTTGGTGACTGAAGATAATTATCAATGAGACGTTTATCCAAAATATTTTCTTCCGGTTCCCACGATGATTGGCTCTTAGGAAAATTGAGCCACTTGACCAAGTACTCGACCTTTCCGTTCCTTTTTCGATGTTTTAGAATTTTTTCTGCACTAAACACAGTTTTATTGTCGATAACAATTGCTTCCGGAGTTGGTTCTTTTGCATTTTGAAGTTGATTCTTTGTCTTTTCTTGGTCTGATTCTTTGTTTGATTCTTTCTCATTATGAGATTGTTGGGTCACTAATGCTTGTTTGCCAACAGGATTTAACCCAGAGTCTAAAAGATTCTCTTCAGCATACACAGAATTATTTGGTTCAAAACAATCTTTTGGAATATCAGCTTCATCTAAATACGGCTCTGAAGGATCATCAAAAGGCGGAGGGTCAATTGGCCGCAAATTTGGATCCACAAACGGCTTCATACGATTTGCGTAACACGAAAAAGCAACTTTTTTATTGGCGATCGCGCGCAACTTAAAATGCACTGGCGACAACTTCTCAACGATTCTGTATGGACCCAACCAGTTATGCATTAACTTTTTAGATAATCCTTTTCTAGTTCTCGGAGTTTAAACCCAAACACGTTGTCCAACTTCAAAAACAGGTTCTTTTGTCTTTTGATCGTAATAGTCCTTCATTTTTTGTTGTGCACGTTGTAAATTTTCTCTAGCTAGATTTTGAGCCAATTCAACTTTTTCAACAACACGTTTTCGATAGTCAAAACTGAAACTAAATACTGACAAAACGGAACTTCTCATTCTCTATTCTAGGTTCAGACTGTCCCCACGGCTACCTTCTATTAAAATAGGAACTGATATCATCAAGCCTACAAATAAGACGCGTAATATCGGCGTCATTTTCGATAACACCGTAACGATGTCTTTTCATATTAACAACATAGTTAAAGTGGCATTCTACCACCTTAGAGAAATAGCTAAGATTCGTAGGCATATCAATGTCACAACGGCTTAAGTTCTTGTGCACGCATTCATAAATTCAAAGCTGGATTTCTACAACTGGCTTTTACATGGTCTTCCCAAGTATGAAATTAACAAACTGCGAAATGTCCAAAGCGCTGCTGCGCGTGTGATTGCCTGCTTAAGTAAGTTTGATCACATACTCTAAAAGAGTCGCACTGGCTACCACTGGAGCAACGAATAATAAGATTAATCTTATTTGTTTTAAAATACTCAACAATTTAGCTCCTGATTATTTGGTTGACCTAATCCATGCTTATGAACCTGTAAGGTACCTTCGCTCATCTTCAGACAAGTGGCGTCTTGTTATTAAACCCTATAACTTAAAGACATACGGTTTAAGGGCTTTTTCAGTCATTGCCCCTATACTATGGAACGATTTGCCTATTAAAATTAGATCGATCCGTGATGCAAATAATTTAAATCTAAATTGAAGACCTTTCTTTTTGAGCCAGTTTACGAATTATCTTAGGTTTTTTATTTTGTATTTTTGTGACTATGTATATATATATATATATATATATATGTAAATGATTTTAGGATTTTTGAAGCATTGTAAAGCGCTTAGCACTGAAAAGTATAGGCGCTATATAAATATTTTATTATTATTATTATTAAGATGGCGCCGATCTAAAAAAGTACATCACGTCCTCAGCTGCTCGTACAAGACCGTAGTTCGCGACGGGAAACCTACATTGCTTTCGTCAAGGGTCAATCTATGACTCAAAAATTATTTTTCTTTGCGCAACAACATTTTCTAGTGCGCCTTGTGCGTTAAAGAACTTTTGAAAAGGAAAAAGCACAAGGATGTTGGTTCTTCGATGGGAAGGTTCTTTCGATCAGGATGCAAGTTAAGTAGGAAACCTTTCTTCTGATAAGTTTTTTAAACAATGTGATCGAGTCGGCAAAACAAAAAAAATTAACACTTGCTGTAATCTTGCCTTAAAGCCACTACTTCTAGAATTTCTTAATCAAATAAATCAAATGTAAGAGAAATGAAGTGACCGAGGAGCGCCGCCGGTGAAGACATTCTTCAGTGGTTGTTCGGGACTTGGCTTGATCTTTCAGATCTTTCCACTGACCGTGAGCCAAAGGCCAGAAACAGTAATATTGCTTCCTTTAGGGTTAGCGTACGTATTTCTTTGTTTTCTTTGTAAAGCTTCCATTCACCATTTACTTGCACTATTTTACCTTTGTCTACTTTTGAAGCGAAAGAATTGATGTCTTTGAAAAATTTCTGCTTCGTTTTTACATACAATTTACTCTTATGGAGATCGATAGTGGCTTGTAACATTGTCTCCTCTCATAAATGTTTCACCTACACTAACCAAACTTTTTGCACAATGAGCTTCAACAGAAGGTTAATAAAGTTTTTTGGGGGGAATATTTCGAAACAAAGAGGCCATGTTTGTCTTATCTTTGCGTGGACGTCGCGCGGATTTTAAAGCTCGCGCCATACTAGTGCTCAGGCTGCGCACGGACAATTTACTCTAGGGAGCCACCTTAATTTGACTTATTTTTATGTCATCGACTGTTATGCGCATATGAACATATTTCTATTGTATATGCGCAATATAAGTTTTATTTTTATTTATCTATTTATTTATTCGTTGTTGTCAAGGGAAGCACAACGTTCAACAGACTATTCCTTTCTTCCACTAATTATCATCTTCGGGCCTTATTCTTTCCTGAAGCCACTCTTTTATTCATTTATTTATTTATTTATTTAGCTTCGCCTAACTAGAATACAATCTTTATACATGAATACATAAAAATTATTAGGCATGGAGACCCTTACAGCCTAACCAATTACACTGGATCCCTCGTAAATTATTAGGCTGGCTGTAAGTCCTAAATCTTGCATACCCCTCACAGGGAGGTCTCAGCAGCACCATTTTAGCTAATTAATTGGCAAAAACGAATAACATTTAAAGACAAGGCGCTTTATACTACTAATGGCGTCCAAACAGAAAGAAATTGAATTTATCTACCCTATTAGTATGAATAGAGGAGATCTATCAAAACTATCAAAGGAGTAATTAATAAATATGCTTCTGAACCCAGCTGCAAATGCCATTAAAGCAGGACCAGTTGCAAGACAAACTGCGAGCGTCAATAAGACAGGGCCAGTCTTCAAGCCTAAATCACTAGTACAACTTGCGGCTGAAAAAATAGAACAATCAATAAAAAAACCAGCCGTACTTCCAAAACAGAATAATAAACTGCCAACCACTCTGGCAGCTCACGCTCTGGTAAAAGACAAGATTAATTATTGGGAGAAGAAAGCAAACGAAAATTCTTCTATTATTACCTTAGATAAAAAGCCAACTAATATTGCTGATATGAGAGAAGATGAGATGGCTAAGAGCAGAATTTTTACAGAATGCACCCGGTAGTACAATTTAGAATTTATTCGAAAATAGGCTAGATTAAATACCAGGCAAACAGGAAAGGGTACAGGTTATGATGAATGCTGATGTGGAAAACTGGAATGGGAAAACTAGGATGATAACACCAAAGACATTTGGCCCGTTTACAATAGAAATGCCCAAAATGAGTAATGATGTATATGATTTATACAACATTATGGTTTACAAATTACTCCAGTATGATTTTAGTATTTTGTGAACTCAAACTATGACTAATATTGGAGCTAAAATACTGACACATAAACCATTAGAGTTCAGACACATATAAAGTTGGCGCTTTAAAGCACAACTCATTTTTCCTTGATAAACAGTTTCCTATTAAGCAAAGAGGAGACAATACGTGTATGATTGATTTCATCTGGCACCAGTGTCAGCACAAAAACGGATTCAAGCGTTACACTTATCAGAAGTTAAAAGACGAGTCATCTGAATTTGCAACCAGTTTCCCATTTATGAGTACTCAGGAGGTAGTTTATTGGGCTCGCGCCTTTCATCCTAATGTATCAATTCACGCTTATGATTCAACATATAAGAAGCTTATGAAACACCTCGCAACAACGCCCAGGCATGATATCTCACTTGTATTTTTCATTACAGATAATCATTGTTATCCAATCACAGATGAGGGGCAAATCAGGGTGGTGTTGACAATTTGTCGTTACGTGAGTGCATGTTGTTTGTCATGTCTTTCCCTTTCCCTTGGGATGATCATTGACGTCATGACCCAGACGTTCCCGCTCCCTAGGGAGGGGTTGACGTCATAGGGGTTTTAAATACACGGCATGTGTTGAACCATGATCAGTTATCATCATGAACTTCCACGGGAATGAACCATTAACCACCGAGTTTCTCCTAGTATTTGGGGATCAAGAGAAACCCTGTCCCTCGTATTATGGAAAAGACGAAGATAAGAAAAAAGTCAAAATGGTCCTTTAACAAGAGATTCATCCTGAAGTCCATGCCAAATGGGGAAATCTAATGTGTCATTGCCAAAAGCTGCCAAAGATGCGGTTAAGTAAAACTGCCAAAAATCTCAACAAAGCGTTTCTTACCTGTGGTGGTTCCGCTCAAGACGCTCGTTGCAAGTATTTTCAATGGATTCATACACCGCTGTATCCATTGCCTTCTGATCCCATGCCAGACTGGCTGCGAAAAACCTACAAACCAAGACCCCTCAAATCCTTCACTAAAGAAAATCGAGAGTGGATGAAGCAAGCAGAGCAAAATGTCGAGCAGTGGAAAAAGTGGCACTCCGACCAAGCCTGGTTCAATCAGTTTGCAGAATCTGCCAAACAAGAAGACTAGCAGCGGCAGACCAAACAAAGTGTAAATCCTTGGAAGAAATCCCTGCCCAGTACCTTTCATGGGAGTCCGAGATAGGGGAGGTTATCAAGAAACGAGACCAATGGGATGACATCAATGCCATGGCCAACAACGAGTTTCAAACCTCTGTGTCGAAGACCTTTGGAAGCTTGCCTTCTAGTGATGCCAGTTTAGCGTCCTACTTGCAAAAGAGAAAAAACCAAGGCAAACACTTATCCCCTACAGATGGAAAGTATTTGCAAGCCTGTCATCAACAGTGGAAACCCGTCACAGGATTTTGGCCTCAAAATGAAAAAAAGCCATTGCTGATTTTGTGAAGGGACCCTGGCCCTTTGGTGACTTGCCAGAAAAAGTGTGCAGTTTGGCGTCGTATTGCCGTAAATGAAAACAACAAGGGTTACCGTTAACCCCAGCCCAAGAACGTTTTTTTCAACATTTAGTAGATTTGCACCAAGATGACCTCAACGAAGGTCCTACTATAAGATGTGTTAATTTTATAGAATAAAACACCCTTTAAACTCTTCATATTGTTGTTTGTTCTTTTGTTAGGGTTAGGGTTAGGGTTATATTTGTGTATGAGTGTATTCCTGTCCCAGAACTCCCATTATCCTCTACTACCATGAGGTTAGGGTTTGGGTTATAAAGCCACACGTTTTACCCTACAGCGTTCATTGTTAGTTCATCATGACAGCT